ACATCAGCACTCCAGCACCCTACTCCACACTGAGAAGATATAACCTGCTTTGGCTGCTTGCCATCAGGACTGGAGCATTACAAGCTGTGCTGTCAGTGACACTGTTGTGCCTAGAGGTTTAGGCCAAACCAGCACTCCTGCCTAGAAACAACCCCTAGGCACTATTCTGCATGAATTTTAGAATAAAGCTGTAACGTAACAAAATGTGGAAAAGGTCAAGGGGTCTGAATACTTTCCGAATGCACTTTATCTTATGATGAATGCACTAATTGTAAGTCGCTCTGGAGAAGAGTGTCTGCTAAATGACTAAAATGTTAATGTGAAAATGAACAATTGCAAAGCATGCTGAGTATTATTCTAATAAGCTCTGCCCTGAAACAAGTCCAATAATATTACCCAGTGTGCTTTGCAGTTCATTTTGGTATGTTCTGTTGACATATACATGTTGGTCATTTAGCAGACACTCTTATCCAGAGGGACTTGCTCAACTAAGGTAGATAAACAACAACATATCACAGTCATAGCAAAAGTTTTTGTAACCGTTACTGAGAATGTTGTTGCTGTACGGCCAGCTACTTGCAAATGTATTTTTGTATTTTAAAATACAAAAACCATGTATTTTAATTAAATACAATAAAAAATAGACATTTCTTTGTAGTTTATATTGATACATTGCTCTTAATGGTATTTTGTATCTGTATGTTGTAATTGTAATTTTTGCCCATCCCTGCTACTGATCAACATTTGCATAGAATCATCACTCCAGCATGTCACGCCTGTATGGAAGGACATCATAATAGGCACTGCTCTTAGTTTGAGAGTATAAAGTAACATCTATTCAATGCAAATGGATCCCATCGTAACATTATGATTTGTGATCATGGATGCTTATGAAACAAGTATTTTTTTGTCATTTTCCATGATTGTGATTTTTTTTTCTTCCCCAGCTGTCAGAAGCATCTCTAAACAACTCAAATGCCAGCATGAAATTTGAAACAACTAAATTGGCTATTTCAGCTATCTGTTAAGAAATGGGCTGGTTGTAACTTGATCCTACTGCTACGATTGGATAGAGCGAGGCTGTAACTCCGCTCCCTTTTACATCTCCTGATATCTCTCTCCATCGCTTATACACTACATGGCCAAAGGTATGGGGACACCCCTTCAAATTAGTGAATTCGGCTATTTCCGCTACACCCGTTGCTGACAGTTGTATAAAATCGAGCACACAGCCATGCAATCTCCATAGACAAACATTGGCAGTAGAATGGCCCATACTGAAGAGCTCACTGACTTTCAACATGGCACCGTCATAGGATGCCACCTTTCCATCAAGTCAGTTCGTCAAATTTCTGCCCTGCTAGAGCTGCCTCGATCAACTGTAAGTGCTGTTATTGTGGAGTGGAAACGTCTAGGAGCAACAACGGCTCAGCCGCGAAGTGGTAGGCCACACAAGCTCACAGAACGGGACCGCAGAGTACTGAAGCGCGTAAAAATAGTCTGTCCTCGGTTGCAAAACTCACTATCGAGTTCCAAACTGCCTCTGGGAGCAACGTCAGCACAATAACTGTTTGTCGGGAGCTTCATGAAATGGGTTTCCATGGCCGAGCAGCCTCACACAAGCCTAAGATCACCATGTGCAATGCCAAGCGTCTGCTGGACTGGTGTAAAGCTCGCCGCCATTGGACTCTGGGGCAATGGAAACACGTTCTCTGGAGTGATGAGCAGTCCAATGAGCATCTGGCAGTCCAATGGCGGATGCCAGGAGAACGCTACCTGCCCCAATGCATAGTGCCAACTGTAACGTTTGGTGGAGGAGGAATAATGGTCTTGGGCTGTTTTTCATGGTTCGGGCTAGGCCCTTTAGTTCCAGTGAAAGGAAATCGTAACGCTACAGCATACAATGACATTCTAGACAATTCGGTGCTTCCAACTTTGTGGCAATAGTTTAGGGAAGGCCCTTTCCTGTTTCAGCATGACAATGTCCCCGTGCACAAATCGAGGTACATACAGAAATGGTTTGTCGAGATCAGTGTGGAAGAACTTGACTGGCCTGCACAGAGCTCTGACCTAAACCCCATCGAACACCTTTGGGATGAATTGGAACGCTGACTGCGAGCCAGGCCTAATCGCCCAACATCAGTGCCCGACCTCACTAATGCTCTTGTGGCTGAATGGAAGCAAGTCCCCGCAACAATGTTCCAACAGCCTTCCCAGAAGAGTGGAGATTGTTATAGCAGCGAAGGGGGGATCAACTCCATATTAATGCCCATGATTTTGGAAAGAGATGTTCGATGAGCTGGTGTCCACATACTTTTGGTCATGTAGTGTCACTTGGTTCAGTTTACTGCTACATTGAGAACTAGCTCAATGGCGATGACATTTGCTACCAAGCCATAAATGTGCATAATATCTAACAATGAGAGCGAAGGTAGGAAAAACGATGAAACGATGATGCACGCCAATATACGGATACGATTGCGGCTGGTCAGATCAGAAAACCAGTAAATAGCTAACGTTACTCAGCAAGTCAGATGGCTCGTTGCCGAAAATGGTGCATGTAGCTAGCTAGCCACATTGGCTATTAGCTCCTATCTGATATCTTAGCACCATGTTTATCTAGCCAGCTAGAGAGCAATAGTAATGGTGTCTTTTTGTAGGCACTAGCACCGCCATAGTTTGTTGGACAAAGCGTATGAGAAAATGAGTTTTTGTAGTAAAAAAAATGTTTTACGTCAAAAATAAGGTCTCTGGTAAACACAGGCTTAGGAGATCTTATACGTTTTGTTCTATGAGACCATTTTCATCAGCTAACGTCACGTTTTTTAAAATAAAAAAGCACATAAAGCCCATAAAAGGCAGAGTGGCGCAGTGGTCTAAGGCACTGCATCGCAGTGCTAGCTGTGCCTCTAGAGATCCTGGTTCGAATCCAGGCTCTGTCGTAGCCGGCCGTGACCGGGAGACCCATGGGGCGGCGCACAATTGGCCCAGCGTCGTCCAGGGTAGGGGAGGGAATGGCCGGCAGGGATGTAGCTCAGTTGGTAGAGCATGTTCGATTCCCACGGGGGGCCAGTATGGTTGTTTACAAAAAAAATTTTAAATGTATGCACTCACTAACTGGAAGTCGCTCTGGATAAGAGCGTCTGCTAAATGACTAAAATGTAAAGGCTTTATATTTCATAAAGGTCATGTTAACTGACTGATATTATTTGATAGAAAAAAAAACATAAAATATCTCCTAAGCCTGTGTTAACTTCAGGGTTCTGGTCTAGAAGCACGGTTTTGACTGCTCCTACAGTTTTGCATCGGCAATACAGTTTAACTGATGCCCTGGCCCAAAAAGACCATTTCCATACACCGCCACATATAGAAGTCAGATTTGAAAATTCCTAATAAGACACTTTAGTCATTTGCCTTTTTGCTCAAAACATCCATTGAATTGTTCAAATAATTGTCACTGAGGCCAATTGTTTTTCATCACTCACAGGCGAAGATATTACAATTTTATATTTATCCAATGTCTGACCTGTTTTTGGATGACGTGATGACGTCGTCGCTTCTCACGCTGCTCTCTGTGCGCACTGAGTTCTAGTGCGCATGTGATGTTGGTCCGTATTAACCGGATGCAACCCGGATATAGACGGTCCATGAATCGGCGTATGTGAACGTGAGTAGATTACCTTATTATTAGTGAATTAACAAAAATAATTTGATTTTGGTCACTGTGTCATTTCATCAATTTCTCAATACTGCACCTTTCTGTTGGAGAATGAGCTAGCTTGCTGCTTCTGATCTTCCCAGCTAGACATTTGCATTGTGCAGTGCATGTGGCTCAGGCAGTGAGTGGTGGCTGGCATAGCTGCAGTTTTGCTATGCAGAGGGACTATCAGCAAAGCAGATAGAGATGGGCCAATAGCCGGTAGACTAGAAAAGGCCGGCCTCCCGAGTGGCACAGCGGTCTAAGACACTGCATCGCAGTGCTTGAGGCGTCACTACAGATCCAGGTTCGATCCCGGGCTGTGTCGCAGCCGGCCGCGACCGGGAGACCCATGAGGTGGCGCACAATTGGTCCAGCGTCGTCCGGGTTAGGGGAGGGTTTGGCCGGCTGGGATGTCCTTGTCCCATCGCGCTCTAGCACCTCCTTGTGGCGGCCAGGCGCTGACTTGGGTCGCCAGCTGTACGGCGTTTCCTCCGACACATTGGTGCGGCTGGCTTCCGGGTTAAGCGAGCAGTATGTCAAGAAGCAGTGCGACTTGGCAGGGTCGTGTTTCGGAGGATGCATGGCTCTCGACCTTCGCCTCGCCCGTGTCCGTACGGGAGTTGCAGCAATGGGACAAGACTGTAACTACCAATTGGATATCACGAAATTGGGGAATAAAAGAGGTAAAAAGTACCCAAAAAAAGACTAGAAAAGGCCAATATCATCTCGGCTGATTATCAGTCGTTCTCTAATTCCTATTCACATAGACGGAAAGAAGGAAGAGCTTGATGACGTGGTTTGAGTTGGAACCTCAGCAGAATTGAATCAGGCACGCAAACTGTCAGTGTGGCACAAGAACTCTCTCAAACACACACACAGTGCACACACACAGTCCTTCTTTTCAGTAGCTACTAACCATAAAGTTTCACTTCCCCAGCATTCTTGCTTATTTAGTATATTTTCTGCTATTTAGTAACCCGGCAAGGATGTGTGATGGATATTAGAGCTGCTATGGTATGGGTGTACAACATGCTTGTATGGAATTCAATGCAGGAGACAGTATCCCACAGCTCCTGACAATAGACCACAATGAAGTGAACACTGAAGTACTGTCATCTGAGCCCTGATATGATCCTTCACGTTTACTGTGTCTACTTTACTCAGGTCTACTTCCAATTCCACGTCTCCTATAAACGTGGGGGTGTGTGGGCTTATTACCCTTAAACTGTTGACCAGAAAAGGAAAAAAAAATGAATCATACCTGTAATAATAATGTGCCTCTGTCTCCGTGTTGTACAGGGTAGCGACGGACCACAATGTGGACAACACTACAGCCATCCTGCGTGACTGGCTCGTCAAGGTCCAAAAGCTCTACCACTATGTGGAGTGGAGGCCGCAGGAGGAGCCCACGTGAGTTCCTCTCATGTTCACTTTATAAACTGTGTGTGTTTCTGTATCTATCTGTGTCATTTATACAGGAGAGTTAACGCCTTACATTACATTTATAAGTCATTTATAGATGGTTAATATGTGATTTATAAACTACATATTAACTAATAATTACAAATTACGTATAAACCCTTAATATCCTCCTTAAAGACACCTTCATGTAAAGTGTTACGGAGAGGCACCTTCATGTAAAGTGTTACGGAGAGGCACCTTCATGTAAAGTGTTACGGAGAGGCACCTTCATGTAAAGTGTTACGGAGAGGCACCTTCATGTAGAGTGTTACGGAGAGGCACCTTCATGTAAAGTGTTACGGAGAGGCACCTTCATGTAGAGTGTTACGGAGAGGCACCTTCATGTAAAGTGTTACGGAGAGGCACCTTCATGTAAAGTGTTACGGAGAGGCACCTTCATGTAAAGTGTTACGGAGAGGCACCTTCATGTAAAGTGTTACGGAGAGGCACCTTCATGTAAAGTGTTACGGAGAGGCACCTTCATGTAAAGTGTTACGGAGAGGCACCTTCATGTAGAGTGTTACGGAGAGGCACCTTCATGTAAAGTGTTATGGAGAGGCACCTTCATGTAAAGTGTTACGGAGAGGCACCTTCATGTAAAGTGTTACGGAGAGGCACCTTCATGTAAAGGGTTACGGAGAGGCACCTTCATGTAAAGTGTTACGGAGAGGCACCTTCATGTAAAGTGTTACGGAGAGGCACCTTCATGTAAAGTGTTACGGAGAGGCACCTTCATGTAAAGTGTTACGGAGAGGCACCTTCATGTAAAGTGTTACGGAGAGGCACGTTCATGTAAAGTGTTACGGAGAGGCACCTTAAAGCGGCAATCAGCGGTAGAAACAATAATAAAGCGTAATCCCCGCCCCTGTTTCGGTATAAAGCTGAGGGATGGGGCTGGAGAAATATAACCACTCAAATTCATAGACAGAGCTATGGATGCAAGGACTGACCATTCATTATATCAACATTATAGTTTTAATCGTGTCGTGAGACTATATAGTGTTAGTTCACATTTACTTTGTTTACAAACATTGGAGTAAAACAAGCTTATATTTTGGGTTCTGATGGGGTACAACTGTTGAACTAAGCTAACCATTGATTCTTGAAGAATATAGGCTAATTTATAAATGCCTCATATTGATAAATTAGCCTATATTCTTAAAGAATCAATGGGTAAGCCTACATATCGTTCATTCATTCATTCATTTATAAGTCCAAAAAGTGACGTAGCAACTGCTGATTGCCCCTTTAATGTAAAGTGATACAAAGAGGCACCTGAATGTAAAGTGTCGCCAGAGAGGCACCTGAATGTAACGTGTCACTGGAGAGGCACCTGAATGTAACGTGTCACTGGAGAGGCACCTGAATGTAAAGTGTCACCAGAGAGGCACCTGAATGTAACGTGTCACTGGAGAGGCACCTGAATGTAACGTGTCACTGGAGAGGCACCTGAATGTAAAGTGTTACAGAGAGGCACCTTGCTGTAAATTGTTCCCAGAGAGGATGTACTGAATGTCCTGTTTGTTAATGTTTGTCACTCAGAGAGTACCAGGATGCAGACAGCCCGAAGCAGTGGACCAACCTCCGCTACGCACACGTGATGAAGCTGCGGCAGGCAGCACTGGACTCCGCGAGAGAGATGTGGGCAGACTACTTCATGGTACTTCTTTCTCCGGTCTCCATGACGACCCCACCCTCTTTTACAGATAAACAGTTTGCATCCCAAACGGCACCCTATTCCCTACATAGTGCACTACCTTTGACCAGTGGGTCCTGGTCAAAAGTAGTGCACTATGTAGGGAATATGGTGCCGTTTGGGACGCAGTCAAGTCTTTCTCCACGACGACCCGCCCTATTTTACAGAGACGCAGAGTTCTCCTTTTTAGAACAATAAAGCAATAAGAGAACGGCAGGAGTCATGTTTTCCTATCTCACTTCTGGTTTAGAGTAAACCAATTCATCTGGCTTGGTGATACTATTTACCGTTCTGGAACAAACCTGGCAGAATCTTAGATATGACAGCTTTGAGTTCTATTCTTTCACCCCTAAGCGTAGACACATTGTCCAGGACTCGCAGGGGTATAATTTTGGGACTGAGTGAAAACGCAGATGAGGTAGTTTTGTTCTTTAAATGTGCCTGTTGTCTTCAGTAATGGTGTGCAATTAGAACTGGGTTAAAATAGAGCAGCTAAAGTTTGTGAAAGAAAACAAGTACTGTTTGAACCCAGGTCTGTGGCCAACGCTGCCTCCTCCTTCTAACATTGATTCTGGTGGCTGGACATAGGCTGCCGCTACAATGACATTGTTTAAAGTGTCTCTAGAGAGGTTTGATGTTGCAGAGTGATGTTTAAAGCTGGAAGTGGAGAAAGTGTCTCACTGTTCCCTCTCCCTTCCTTTGCTCAGTTCCATCACACACACACTCACACGCTCTTCCACTCTCCCCTGTCTAGGTGGTGGACTGTGATAACCTATTGACCAATCCTAATGTGCTGTGGAAGCTCATCAAGGAGAACAAGACCATTGTAGCTCCCATGTTAGAGTCCCGTGCAGCCTACTCCAACTTCTGGTGTGGCATGACCTCCCAGGTACGGTACTAGTTGTGTGGGTGGGTGTGTGTGCATGCGTGCGTGCAGTCGTGTCCTCCCAGATACTTTGCGTGCATTAAAGCGAGAGCACAATCACCTTGATTGAAACGCTTAGAAGTGCTCATCATATTCTAAACACTTCTCCCTCATCTCTCTCTTCCTCCTCCAGGGTTACTATAAGCGCACCCCGGCTTACATCCCTATGAGAAAGCAGGTGCGTAAGGGATGCTTCGCGGTTCCCATGGTGCACTCCACCTTCCTGATTGACCTGAGGAAGGAGTCGTCACGCCAGCTGGCCTTCCACCCCCCTCACCCAGACTACAGCTGGGCCTTCGATGACATCATTGTCTTCGCCTTCTCCGCTCGCATGGCAGGTACTGTTAACATGTTCACTCTCTTTTGTCCTGTTTAGTAGCTTTCATATACAATACAGCATGATAATGATTTGGGACACTTCATTGTGTTTGCCGTCTACGCTCGCATGGCAGGTATGCCTACTACTGTCGTTCTGTTTTACATGGCAGGTAGGCCTACTGCTGTTCTGTTTTACATGGCAGGTAGGCCTACTGCTGTTCTGTTTTACATTGGCAGGTAGGCCTACTGCGGTTCTGTTTTACATGGCAGGTAGGCCTACTGCTGTTATTCTGTTTTACATGGCAGGTAGGCCTACTGCTGTTCTGTTTTACATGGCAGGTAGGCCTACTGCTGTTCTGTTTTACATGGTAGGTAGGCCTACTGCTGTTCTGTTTTACATGGCAGGTAGGCCTACTGCTGTTCTGTTTTACATGGCAGGTAGGCCTACTGCTGTTCTGTTTTACATGGCAGGTAGGCCTACTGCTGTTCTGTTTTACATGGCAGGTAGGCCTACTGCTGTTCTGTTTTACATGGTAGGTAGGCCTACTGCTGTTCTGTTTTACATGGCAGATAGGTTTACTGTGGTAATTCAGAATGGCTGCCATTTAGATCGGAGTTTTCCACAACAGTAATGAATAAGATTATATGGACAGGGAGGACCTGATTCTAGATCAGCTGTCCGACTCCGAGGCACTTTGTGAATAAGCAGAGGCTACAACTATGACGTTTTGCCCCCTGCCCCCATATCGCCCCTCTGGAAACTTCTTTCTCAAATCTAAGGATCCAAATCACGTTCTGCGCATGTGTTTCTTTTGCTGAATTCCTGGGGGTTTAACGGACAGTGGTGAGTTCCCAGAGTCTGGTTGTTCTAATTCCATCCATGGACATAGTGTATGCTTTGTGTAAGATAACTTAATACACATTTGCATAAATACATAAGTGTCATGTTTTTGTTTTGAAAGTTGATATTTTGAGGCGTGACAAATAACCTCATCTACAGTGTGAATAGCCATAGCAAAGCCAAGTGTAAATGTTTGTAGAAAACTTGTCGTTAATAACAAACTTCTCTTCTCCCTCTACACTCTACTCTTCCTCCGTCTTCCTCAGATGTGCAGATGTTCCTATGTAACAGAGAGACTTATGGGTATTTCCCTGTGCCACTGCGAGCCCACAACTCCCTGACAGACGAAGCAGACAGTTTCCTGCATTCCTTGTTGGAGGTCAATGGTGAGTGTTATGTTATATTGTCACAGGTCAAAAGTTAGTCGGCTCTCTAATGTCCATACTAGCATATACTAGCATCCAAATGGGCAAAACTGGTTGAAATGACGTCTTTTTGACATACCACTGGGTTACCACAGGATGGATACTCAATACATTGCTTCATTCTAAGTAGTATGCCAGTGTGGATATCGGAACACAGCTGGACGTTGGAGCTTTTCGCTCTTCTCTAACTAATGTTACTGGTCAGCATGTGAGAGTTGTTTATCATTCCTATCATTTTTTTCCTTTCTCACGTTAGTGCGGAACCCTCATGTGCTGCCCTCGGAGCACATCCCGGCCCCCAGAAAGATACAAGACAAACTGGGCTTTGATGAGGTGAGGATATGAGCCAGCTCAGAATATGGTTCTGAGTTCCTTATTGATCCCTATCCCCTAGGCCCATATTGTCAAATTATTTCTATGGAGGCCAAGTGTCTGCAGGTTTTCACTCCTCCCTTGTACTTGATTGATCAATTAAGGTCACTGATTAGTTAGGAATGCCCCTAGGTCTTAATTGGACATGATTGAAAGGAAATTACAAAAATCAGCAGACACTTGGCCCTCTATGGAATGAGTTTGACACCCCTGCCCTAGGCACTCCTGAAGATGTGTAAGGATCTAATGGGTTTAAGCAATAAGGCAATTGCTTCAACTTCTGGTAGGCTGGGTTGAATTGTCACCACATTTCATACACCTATCCAATTGTTTTACGAGTGTCTAAGCGTAGCTGTCGTTTTGGAATTTATCACTAGAATTCAAAATGTCTCTTTTGTACCCTTCAACTAAATGTCTCCCTCTATGGGTGTCATGTGGTATTGCATGTATTGACTCACTACCGTACAGTAAGGCCCATGTATTGCGTGTGTGTGCAGGTGTTCATGATCAACCTAAAGAAACGGCCCGACCGGCGGGATCGCATGCTGAGGACTCTGTATGAGCAAGAGATTGCCTGCAAGGTCATTCAAGCGGTAGACGGCAAGTAAGTTTACCCCTTTTTGAAGGCACTCCTCTCTCTGCACGTCATATACTTCATGCAGCATTAAAGATAGACTCAGTGATGGCACATTGTCATACACAGCAGAAGTTGCCCCACTGTTTATGATGTCTTTAAGCGCTCAAAATGACCCCGTTATCTCTCTCTCCCTCTCTATTTTGTGTCTCTCTCTTTATCTCTGTCTCTTTCTTTCTCCCTCACCCCCCCTCTCTCCTGCCCCTCCCTCTTTCCCCCTCAGAGCAATGAACATCAGTGAAATCAATGCCCTGGGGATCCACATGCTACCAGGCTACAGTGATCCGTACCACGGCAGGCCCCTCACCAAGGGAGAGCTGGGCTGCTTCCTCTCACACTACAACATCTGGAAAGAGGTGTGAGCAGGGGAAGTGCTACCTGAACTTGCCCAATAATAGTTTTGCAACGGTGTTCTCCTAATGAACACAGCAGGGTTGAGCTCAATTCTTCATATTATTGAGAATGCCTCAAATTCCAATTCAATTCTTGAATTCAATTTTAATTTAATTTTAATTGAAGTAGTAAACCGGATACAGAGTTGCAATTCAAATTTGAATTAAAGGAAATATAATTTAATTCAATGAAATTCAAATGCCTCTTCTATTCTACATTGTACATACAGTGAGGGAAAAAAGTATTTGATCCCCTGCTGATTATCAGTCTATAATTTTAATGGTAGGTTTATTTGAACAGTGATTGACAGAATAACAACAAAAAGATCCAGAAAAACACAATTTATAACAAAAATGTTATAAATTGATTTGCATTTTAATGAGGGAAATAAGTATTTGACCCCTCTGCAAAACATGACTTAGTACTTGGTGGCAAAACCCTTGTTGGCAATCACAGAGGTCAGACGTTTCTTGTAGTTGGCCACCAGGTTTGCACACATCTCAGGAGGGATTTTGTCCCACTCCTCTTTGCAGATCTTCTCCAAGTCATTAAGGTTTCGAGGCTGACGTTTGGCAACTCGAACCTTCAGCTCCCTCCACAGATTTTCTATGGGATTAAGGTCTGGAGACTGGCTAGGCCACTCCAGGACCTTAATGTGCTTCTTCTTGAGCCACTCCTTTGTTGCCTTGGCCGTGTGTTTTGGGTCATTGTCATGCTGGAATACCCATCCACGACCTATTGTCAATGCCCTGGCTGAGGGAAGGAGGTTCTCACCCAAGATTTGACGGTACATGGCCCCGTCCATCGTCCCTTTGATGAGGTGAAGTTGTCCTGTCCCCTTAGCAGAAAAACACCCCCAAAGCATAATGTTTCCACCTCCATGTTTGACGGTGGGGATGGTGTTCTTGGGGTCATAGGCAGCATTCCTCCTCCTCCAAACACGGCGAGTTGAGTTGATGCCAAAGAGCTCCATTTTGGTCTCATCTGACCACAACACTTTCACCCAGTTCTCCTCTGAATCATTCAGATGTTAATTGGCAAACTTCAGACGGCCCTGTATATGTGCTTTCTTGAGCAGGGGGAACTTGCGGGCGCTGCAGGATTTCAGTCCTTCACGGCGTAGTGTGTTACCAATTGTTTTCTTGTTGACTATGGTCCCAGCTGCCTTGAGATCATTGATAAGATCCTCCCGTGTAGTTCTGGGCTGATTCCTCACCGTTCTCATGATCATTGCAACTCCATGAGGTGAGATCTTGCATGGAGCCCCAAGCCGAGGGAGATTGACAGTTATTTTGTGTTTCTTCCATTTGTGAATAATCGCACCAACTGTTGTCACCTTCTCACCAAGCTGCTTGGCGATGGTCTTGTAGCCCATTCCAGCCTTGTGTAGGTCTACAATCTTGTCCCTGACATCCTTGGGGAGCTCTTTGGTCTTGGCCATGGTGGAGAGTTTGGAATCTGATTGATTGATCGCTTCTGTGGACCGTTGTCTTTTATACAGGTAACAAACTGAGATTAGGAGGACTCCCTTTAAGAGTGTGTTCCTAATCTCAGTTCGTAACCTGTATAAAAGACACCTGGGAGCCAGAAATCTTTCTGATTGAGAGGGGGTCAAATACTTATTTCCCTCATTAAAATGCAAATCAATTTATAACATTTTTGACATGCGTTTTTCTGGATGTTTTTGTTGTTATTCTGTCTCTCACTGTTCAAATAAACCTACCATAAAAATTATAGACTGATAATTTCTTTGTCAGTGGGCAAACGTACAAAATCAGCAGGGGATCAAATACTTTTTTCCCTCACTGTATCTAGGGCACGTATGGGGAAGGGTACATCTACAGGCAATATAGGAATCCCTAATTTATGCGCAACCAGCCTATCCATAAAATTCCCAGCTGCGCCGGAATCTACGAGCGCCTTATGCTGGGAATGTGGGGAAAATCCAGGGAAATGTACATTGACCGTCATGTGAGCAACAGGGAGCTCTGGGTTAGGTGGGTGCCTACTCACCTGGGATGGTCCACCAGGGCCATGCCTGCTGCCTCGATTCCATGAGGGTCCTCTCCTGCACCGGCCCGCAGTGTTTCCTCTGCGGCCACAGTTGGTGCAGGAGACCACCCCCTTGCCGGGTCTCTCCACATCAGCACCTCCAAGCTCCATAGGAGTGGAGTCGGAAGTGCTGGGGGATGGACTGGACGGACCCTGATCCGGACGTCCGCGGGTGGCCAACAGGTTATCCAGCCTGATCGATAAATCTACCAGCTGGTCCAGGTTTAGATTCGTGTCCCTGCAGGCCAGCTCCCTACGAACGTCCTCCCGTAGACTGCATTGGTAGTGGTCAATCAGGGCCCTCTCATTCCATCCCGCGCTGGCTGCCAGTGTCCTGAAATCCAGGGCGAAGTCCTGTGCGCTCCTCCCTCCCTGGCTGAGGTGAAACTCTCCCCTCCGGCGGATGATTGAATACTGCCCGGAAACGGCGGGTGAAATCCTCGTAACGTACGGACTCAGCGTCTATTCCACCCCACTCCGCGTTGGCCCATTCCAGGGCTCTGCCCGACAGACAGGAGATAAGGGCGGACACACTCTCGTATCCCGAGGGAGCCGGTTGGATGGTTGCCAGGTAGAGCTCCACCGGGAGCAGGAAACCCTTACACCCGGCAGCTGTCCCATCATATTCCCTCGGGAGCGAGTGCCGAATTCCACTGGATCCAGGGTTTGATTGTCTTGATGGGGGAGAAATCGGAGGAGGAGGAAGTGTAGGAAACCCACTTCTCTCCCATCGATCCATGGTGTTCACCACTCGATATATAGACGACCCTAAAGCCTGCAGCATGGTCGAGTGCTGCTGGATGCGTTCCTCCACCGAGGCGCTGGGATCGGACGTGCCTGCTGACTCCATAGGTGGTGCGTGATTCTGTCAACGTCTGGGTGAAGCGGTCAAACGGAATCAGGCGCAGGACACAGAACTGAGAAAATGAATGGATTTACTAAACAAAAGTAAACCATAACAAACCCTCCACGCAGGAACAGCTCACCAAACGACGTAAAACAACGGACAATCACGCACAAACTCAGGAGGGAAAACAGAGGTAATTATAGGGACACAAATAAGCATAATGAGTAACAGGTGTGATTAATAAAGACAAGACTAGTGTAACACAGAAACATTGATCGGTGGCAGCTAGTACTCCGGTGACGACGAACGCCGAAGCCTGCCCGAGCAAGGAGGAGGGGCAGCCTCGGCTGTATTCGTGACACAGAGGTAACTCTGGGTTTTCCATTCCTGCTGTGGTCCTCATGAGAGCCAGTTTCATCATAGCGCTTGATGTTTTTTGTGACTGCACTTGAAGAAACTTTCAAAGTTCTTGAAATGTTCCGTATTGACTGACCTTCATGTCTTAAAGTAATGATGGGCTGTTGTTTGTCTTTGATTATTTGAGCTGTTCTTGCCATAATATGGACTTGGTCTTTTACCAAATAGGGCTATCTTCTGTATAACCCCCTACCTTGTCACAACACAACTGATTGGCTCAAACGCATTAAGAAGGAAAGAAATTCCACAAATTAACTTTTAAGAAGGCACACCTGTTAATTGAAATGCATTCCAGGTGACTATCTCATGAAGCTGGTTGAGAGAATGTCAAGCGTGTGCAAAGCTGTCATCAAGGCTAAGGGTGGCTATTTTGACTGGTAGTGTACATGCAGGACAAACTCTTAAAATGAATGGTCAAGGAAAACAAAACCTGTATGCTAATAACATTTAAAGATAACATTGACCTGTATGCGAATAAGTTATTATATTTAATTAATCACTGAAACTTTGTTCAATTTGGGGGAAATAATATATTTCCCAGAATGTATTAGTTTAACCCTCAAGTTAACCCTGAGGCCTTCAAAAAGAAGCCAAAGAAATGAAATGGTTGTTGGAAATATAATTGGCTATTCTAGTGATTATATATTCTTTGGTATCTGGAAGTGTGACCTGTCGGATTCAATAAAACTCTCATGTTCTATGACTGAGTGGTATTTCTTTGAATTGCACTGAATTAAATTACACTTCCTGTCACTCAAATTCAACATCCTGTAGGGTGTAGCCTATTCAATTAGAATTTCAACTCATGAGTTGAATGGGAGTCAATTCCAAAATTCTGAATTGAGCCAACCCTGGAACACAGGCCTGGCTGTCACTCTCAGGTATAGATAGTCTACGATAGTTTCTTTGCGTCGTCTGAATGTGAGTGTCACTGTTTTCTCTCTGTCTATCTCTGTGTGTGTTCAGATCGCAGAGCGGGGTCTGAAGAGTTCCCTGGTGATCGAGGACGATCTGCGTTTCGAGGTCTTCTTCAAGCGACGCCTGATGAACCTGATGAATGAAGTGGAGAGCCAGGGTCTAGACTGGGACCTGATGTGAGTGTTCCATACACTATTCCACTAGTCTGACAGTGGCTCCACTCATAGAGATACATTAAATTACTATTGTGTTCTGATGACTGAAGTGGAGAGCCAGGGGCTAGACTGGGACCTGATGTAAGTGTTCGAAAGACTGTATATCATTCACTATACACACTGGATATCCTCTAGTCTAGGTCAGTGAGTCTCAACCTCTGGTCCGTGGACCGTCATTGGTCCCTGGGATGTCGCTGGCCGATCCCTCAGACATATGATACAGTATTTGGTTAGTTCTTAATTGTTAATTGTAATGTTAGCAGTCCTTTTAAAAGAGTTAAGAACCCCTGTTCTAGCTTGCTGACTCAGCACTTACTGTCTACCCTTCCCATGTGGTGTAAACCTTCTTCAACTTTCTCTTCCCCAACTGTTCTTACTCCCAGTTATATCGGCAGGAAGAGGATGCAGGTGGACCGCCCTGAGAAGTCCGTGCCCAATATACACAACCTGGTGGAGGCCGACTACTCCTATTGGACACTGGGCTATATGATGTCATTACAAGGAGCCCAGAAGCTGCTGAGGGCAGAGCCGTTGAAGAGGATATTACCCGTAGATGAGTTCCTCCCTGTCATGTTCAATAAACACCCTGTGTAAGTTTACCCCTCTCTGTCGTACGCTCTCTCTCTGTGTCTTTCTGTCGCCTGTCTCTCCAGGTAAATCTCAAAAAAGTATTTTCCTTGATTCCTTGAGTCCTCTCTTCTCGCCTTCTTTTCAAAGCAACAGCAGGAAACGAAGGGAGCATCAGAGGAGAAAGATATTATCTTCCGAAGCTCCCCTCGCTCCCCTTCACGGTTTGAGGAGGCGGCGAGGAGAGAAGAGACAAGGAATCAAGGACAAGACTTGAGATTCACCCCTTTTCACCTATTCCTCTTTTCAATGTATCCCTTGACATCTGTATCTCCTCTCTCTCTTACCTCTCTCTCCAGCTCGGACTATATGGAGCAGTTTGAGGAGCGGGACCTGAAGGCCTTCTCGGCCGAGCCCCTACTAGTGTTCCCCACTCACTACACAGGAGACGCGGGCTACATCAGCGACACAGAGACCTCCGTGGTGTGGGACAACGAGAAGGTGCGTACGGACTGGGACCGGGCCCGCTCGGGGAAGACCCATGAGCAGGCGGAGATCAGCACCGAGGCCCAGAACTCTGACGTACTCCAGTCACCTCTGGACAGCACAGCCACACGGGACGAACTATGAGAGGAGAGGGGGTGGAGAGGAAGGGGATGGGGTTGGCGATGGAGGATGGATGGAGAGATATGCTGAAGATTAAGAACCACTGTGAGTGATGTGAACCACAATGGGGTTTTTTTAAAGTCGTTTTTGTACGTTTTAGCCCCCTTTCTTTGCATCATTGCAGTGACATGATGAATAGTACGCAGGCGGCTGTTTTTGTTTTGTTTTTTAACCAAAGATGACAAGTTAAATAAGGGATCGGTTGCATTCTTTTAGCATTTTTTCCTTCCATTTTCTTTTTCATTTCAGAAATATGTTGGACTCACCTTTTTTTTTTGCTGCATTTACAAGACCCAAATGCAGGGTGGGATCTGCATGTCTACAGTGATCTGGTTGTACTGTCGGTTACATTTCAGTTATGTGATTGGCCTGTGAACTGGAACTTTGTTTCTGATTGGTCACTACCATGCCTCAAGTGCCTTATAGCCTAGTTCATCATGCCAAATCTCACAACTGACCCGAGTAGACCTTGTCACCTCTAGAATTAATAATTCATTTATTGTGTGTTTATGTACTTTAACAGTGTACTGTAGCAGTCTTTGAAAGGACTGGAAAATACAAGCATCTGCATGCTTTTGGAGATGGTTTTAAGATTACCTTTTTAATTTGTTCATTTTTAAACTATAGGTAGACCTAACATATTTTGCATCAATTAGAGATTTATGCTTGAAATTTGTGTGCTGCTTCGCAAACGAGTCCCATAGTTTTACCGAAACCTCACCAAGGAGCTCAAAGTCTTATCATATGACATATGACATTAATACCAAAACAGTAGTAATTAAAAAGGAACATCTCCCAAAGTTAATGACTTGGCTACCCGCCCTCCCTGTCAGACCCTAACCATTGCGCTACAGTAGTGCTCTTTATAGCAGTGTACGTCTTCTTAAAAACCAACGGCTCCCAAAGTTAATAACTATGGGTAGAATCCTAACTTCCACTTAAGTCAAATCTTCCTCATCTCTTAATTGACAGCAATGCATCACTAAAAGTGCAAATTCGACTTCAGTGGATGTTAGGATTCACCACTATCCACCTCCTCTGTCAGTCCATGGCCATTGAGTTACAGTAGAGCTGTTTATAGCAGTGGAGTACTCCTTTCCCCCACTTGCCCCCTCTGGTCTGTTTCCAGGCTAATGCCTTGTCGCCTTCACACAGAGCTATACGAGGGTCACAGGCGGGAGCGACCACAGAGACCGCAGTAGACGCCTCACACTTTTGTGGTCAAGGAGGAGCCATGTGATTCCTCCCAAACTGGGTCGGTCGGTCGGTCTGCGTCGCCACATCGAACTAGCAGTTAAGATAGAAAGTGTAAAGCTTGGGAAACCCTGGTCTAGGAAAGACCGAGAAAGACCGAGTTTGGGAAACCCTGGTCTAGGGCACGTGTCCAACTCATTCCACAGAGGGCCGAGTGTCTGTGGGTTTTCACTCTTCCCTTGTACTTGATTTATGAATTAAGGTCACTGATTAGTTAGGAACTTCCCTTACCTTATTGTCTAGATCTTAATTGAAAGGAAAAACCAAAAACCAGTAGACACTAGGGCCTCCATGGAAGGAGTTTGACACCCCTGGTCTAGGGGGCCTCCCAAGGGTTGGTTCTAGTTGTAGCCCTGCCTTCCAAGGCATTGTTGTAGCCGTTAGGTGGGAGATATTACGATTCAGTTGAGACTCACTCATAGTAGTCAACTAGATTACATTGTCTGTCATAACAGCATTTTTGTAACTACATACCAAATAATAAAATATTTTGTTAAAAAGAGTAACGATAATTGTGGTCTCTATTCCTCCAGATGGTCAAATTAGAGATTTCTCCATTTTACTTTGAGATTGATATGACCATGACTAGATGTTGCACCACTGAAACCTTATCACAGTTATTTGTCTGTCTGTCTGTCTGTGATTATAGGGTTGTTGGGTGACAAATTGCCACCCCCCTCATATTCTGTGAAACAATTGCAGAGTTACTTTTTACATGTGCCATAACTCCTCAGTGAACAAACTCTAACACAGAATTAAAAATAACTAACTATAGGATCTCCATGCTTTCTACTTACCAACAACTTACTAAAAATGGAAGCCTACAATCAGGTAATTCTAAATCATTTTTAGAAAATCACTGCTTGCAAAATGGGAATAAGACATATCCGGATTAGACCTAGGACAGGCCTACTCTGCTTCATGTGTGCTCTATAAACCAGCTATTTTGCTCCCAGTGATGGCCCGTGTAAATTGAACCTTGAAAGGCCTTGTGCCCCAAAGCTGTTAATTTCAAGTGGTTTATCAATCAATATGTTTTTTTCTAGTGTCCTTGCGTGACGTTCACAGCGTCTGCTTTTGTCAATAGCTGCGCCTACTGTTATTTTTATCCCTCAGAAAAACGATTAAAACCAGGGTTGAGATGACGCCAATAATGTTGCGACATAGGAATGCGGTCAGACTTGATGCTTAGCGGGAACAAGACTTTGTAATAGGGAGGAAAAACTCTAGTTGATAGACCTGAAAGCATTGTTCTATGACACGGTTTTACTTCTCAACGAGATTGAGGAAATCATTCGGAGGGTATGAGACACCGATAACGGCTGAGTGGACTCTGGCATAGGCTACAGGGATGCGCCAAGGACACTGCCTATCCAAACGGACAATTACAGACCTCTGTGGGAAATTGATTGATTTCTGAATGGTTTATGTTCTACATTGCATGAAATGGAACGAATGTTTATTTTAATCAATATAGCCTACCACATTTTGAGCTAGGCTATTTGAATGCGTGTTAGCCTAATTATTTTGTGTTACGTGCCTATAGGGAATTAGACAGCTAGAAATGTATTTGTTGGAGTTGAACATACACCTTCGCCAGCGGCGTGGTGTAAAACATATGCCTACTGAACCGGGAGAGAATTATTCTCATTTACGGGAATGAACACCACACTTATCCTGTGTCAAAACGGTAGTGGTATTCATAGGATTAAATACTACGATATAACATGGACAGTGTCAAGACTCCGTGTAGTGGCGGAATGTCTGAGATAACTTCGGCTGCTCTTTGAGGACTGTTGCGGTAAGTCAATGGAACATATTTACGACATTCACACACATGGTTTTCTTTGTAGGCCTAATGATTTACAGACAAGACCTATGACTATGCAGTTCTCTCATCAGAAGATTTTCGCGTCGGCCAAGGCATGCTATACATAGCCTTGTTCATGTGAGGACAAACAAAAGGACAGTCTGGGAGACTCATCTGCGCTCTGAGTCTGATACTAAGCTTCGTTCATGTCCTAGTTGGAACTAGGAAACTCAGAAATGTCAGACTTGCTAACTGGTTGAAGTTATACACGTGGCGCATTCAGCAGCAAGTCGGAAATGTCAGTTTCCTACTTCCAAATAGCACCTGAACGCGGCATAATGCCGACAGGCTACACATCGTGACGTGTTTCATTACGCCGTACGTCAACTTCAGGGAGTCTTGCCCAATGATCCGTGGATTACTGATAGTCTACACCTTTCAAACCAATACGTTTTCTGCCAATTTTAGCATCATGCCAACTTTTTTTATATATAGGCCTATGAAAGGTATTGCCGTCAACGTTTTTTACCAGAGAAGTTGGTTGGCCCTCTAGGTTGATACATTGTTATGTTTCCATTTATAAAGCCATTTTACAATAAGTTCCGCTGTACCTAACATCATACTAATTTAGACATACGAGTTACCACACCCAGTCTCAGGGATGGCTAACTCTGGAAATTCCTTTGGTCTCTACCAGGTAGCCTAATTCAGCTTAGTTTTCTTGCACCTTATTTGTGGAACAATCTTCAAAATGTTCTTAAATTTGATGTTTCGGTGCCTCTAGGGCAATTCAGAAAGCTGATTTGAGGACCTTATTACTGATGAATGTGTATGTTTTTTATGGCTGTTTTTTCTTTCTGCTTGCATTTTGTATTTATATTGTTGTGTATTTTCTGTAATTTATGTGAATCAGGGCTCATCTGTAAAATAGACCATGGTCAGTATCCCTGATAAAATAAAAGTTAAATAAAAAAAAGCCTATACTTTTATTTCTGCCAACCGACCTAGTCATGATTGCGGTAAAGTTCTGCCTGTGGCTTCATTGTTTTACATGAGATAGCGCGTCGGATTCTGCCTGCAAAGGGTAATGGAATAGATCAAAAGTAGTCTGGCTACTTTTGCCATCAGTGGAGGCTGTTGAGGGTAGGACGGCTCATAGCCTAATAATGGTTGGAATGGAGTGTAATGGCTGGAATCGAATTGTATCAAACAAACGTGTTTGATACCATTCCATTTACTCTATTCCAGCGATTATTATGAGCCGTCCTCCCCTCAGCAGCCTCCAATGGCTGCCATAACATTCGAAAATATTACACTTAGGTGACATCGTCTGCTGAACCCCATTTCTGCCTCAAAACTGTCTGAATTAATCTAAGCTAAAACAATAAATATTTCAATGTTTACGTTTTTTTGGTGAGGGAGTCTTGGTCGCCCCATTTTACGTCTAGCTAAGGATTATTGTGCTTCAATGAGCAGTAGTGAGTGCATGGGCTACTAGAATGAAAACCATAGGTGTTTTTGCAGCATATGGCATATGCTCTGTTTGCCATTAATTCATGCCCTTGTACCTTCCTCATTATTATTTGTGATTCTGCAACATGGAATTGTAACAGATGTGATTACATGGAGTCCACAACGGTTCTTACTGTATGGTAGGTTAATTGATTGCTTGTCAGCCAGCCTGCAGTGTATTTCTCAACCTTTTATATTGCTTTTGTCAGTACGCATGTAAAGAACAGATTTTGATTCAATCACATGAAGGACGAAACACTCAACGTACAGAAAAGTATTAATACATTTGATTGAAGCAATAGTCCACTCGCGTGTGGTCAACTATTTCTGCACTGTTTTCAGCTGTTAAGCATGGGGTCTTGATAAATCAATCGATGTCAGATTT